CTAAAGGAAAAGCGTTCGTTCGTGCTCCAGTTTCATCAATTCTTATAAATGAAGCGAATAAAGCTATTGGAGTTGTAGTAAAAGGTCATTGTATCTTTTCAAAAATTGTTGTTAGTGCTATCAGTTCAACAATAACCTACAAGTATCTTATACCTCAAACTCATCAACATTTGGTTCAATCTCATTTGAAGATAATAGAAAGTCCTGAGCTTGCCTCAGAAACTGGTTATATGTCAATGTTCGTTGGTCTTCAAGGTGATTCCGATGAACTCAATTTACCGAAGGGAAATTTATGGGTATGTCCATCATGGAATCATGATGAAAATATGAAGAAATTTCGTAATGATTACAGTGCAGATTTTCCAGCTATTTTCATATCTTTTGCATCTGCAAAGGATCCAACATATCACACAACATACCCTAAGAAGAGTGTTGCATCTATTATTGCTCTTGGCTTTTATGAACATGTTGAAGATTTCAAAGACAAACGTGTAAAACATCGTGGTGACGCTTATAATCAACTGAAAGATCAATGGAAAGAAAGAATGTTAGAAATATTTTTAAAAGAATTTCCGAATTTAAAAGACAAAATAGTTTATGTTGATAATGGTACCGCAATTACGAATGATTTTTATCTTGGAACTTATCATGGAGCTGCTTGTGGACTGGCCCATACACCAGAGCGATTTCGACAAGTGGAAATTCTTTCACCAATATCACCAATCAAGAATCTTTATCTCTCGGGACAGGATATGCTGACTTGTGGGGTGTCGAGCGGCCTTATGAGTGGATTTATGACATCATATACTATTTCTCCTAGCTTGATATTTAAGTATCCAAAGCGCAACTGATTGTGTTCCATTCCTGCAACAAAACTATATTATGTTTCTATGATTTTTTTTAGAAATTAGATTCGAATGATGCAAAAACTTGAGTGAAATAATAATAAAATTCATAATAACTTATCATTTCATTGAAATTTATATTCAAATATATACTAAAAAATCAAAATAAATTAAGCATTAATCCTATGAGGGTGTGGGTGTGGGTAAAGGTGTCGGTATGTGTATCTTTCTCTTCGTCGATAACTACTCACACCCACGCCCCATAGGCCTACCCAAACCCACATCCATACGCCTTCTGTTACTCGATCCTGGTTAATTCTCTACTCGAAATATTCTTCATTCTCCTTTTTTGTGTTTCTTATTTTATTTAGTCGTTCCATCTTCCTCCTTAACATATTGTTAATAAATCTTGAAGATGATGACATCAATCATTGAAACGTCGGAAAAACTTCTTATCTTCCTTTTGAGAAAGAATTTCTTTCTTTCCTTTAACAAAGATTTTTTTTCTTTCTTTTGACAGAGAATTTCATTCTTTCTGATACAATATTATTTCAAGTCGCTATTATTCATTCATGTATATTGAATGGACTGCCCTTGAAAGTAACCAACGTTAATGGAAAAAAAAACTATTTTTGGGTGTGGGTGTGGGTGCGGGTGTAGTTATGCATCTTACTTTCATACAACATCCACACCCACACCCCACACTCACACACCCACATCCCACACCCACGCCCACGCCCACCCACGCCCACACGCCTCTTTTCATCAAAGCGATTCTTATTTGAATATTATTCGATTAGGTATCAATTTAAGAACAAGGACAAATTTACCCGATCGCTTTCATGCCGTTCCAAATGTTCAATATCTTGACATAATAGTTGATGAAAACAATGATTCATCAGAAGATTCGTTTGGTCAGAACTTACCTCCTCTTCTTCATCTTACAAATTTCGAGCTGAGATCCATTACACAACCATGGACACTTGAAGAGTTGCTTCTTTTATTCAATCAGTTACCAATAGTAAAAAATATAGCACTTTATCTTGTTTCATATGATAGACGTCTTGTCGAAGGTAATACAATTTTTCCTTTACTACCTTCTACTATTTAGCATTTTAACTACGCCACTTATTTCATTCATACTACGGATATTGATCAAATTGATAATATTATTGCTTCTTGGCCATTGTCTCATCCAGTCATGTGCTTTTACGAAGAAACATTCTTATTTCTTCACACTTTACCATGGTATTTTTCTTATATTGACTTTCCTGGTTTAAGAAATAAGAGGTCGTGTGAAACGAATAATCTAAATGGTTATTTCTGCAGTGTTCAAACACTAAAGCTTCAGATCGATAGAAACTTTACAGTAGTCAAGGCTTTAGGAATACTATCGCAATGTCATCAAGTGAAAAGAGTTATTGTTACGATTACTGGCGAAGTACCGAAAGGTATGTGCATTTGACAATGACTTTGAGAATGTATGAAATTAACCTATTAAAATTATACAACTAATAAAGAATGAATAGAATGCAAGACTGCTATTTGAAATAGGAGCTTTGTATCCCGAGAATTCTGGGGTGACTAAATTAGATATAAGGTGTGATAGCTTCGATTGGTGTGTATTATTAGACACATCACTTCACTGTATTGTAGATTTCAGAAAGTCTACAAAACAGTTTGCACTTTGGACTCTTATAAAGAAACCTACTCAATTGGATCAGATACCAAATTTGATGGAGATCATAGTTTTCCACAGTATAGTTCTATGAAAAATCATGATTATCCAGGAAATAATTAAAACCTGCATTTCAAAATGTGTGTCTCTTAAGTACATATCCTCTGATAACAGAAATTTCGATATGAGCAGTTATACAGGCATCGATAGTCGAAAAAAGTTAAAAATGAAACATGTTACTCTGAAACAGTTCTTAAAGATTTCAAATATTGGAAAATGTTTGTACTCGCTATAACTTGTAAAACAAATAAAAATATGGCAAAATAAATGTCAATCCATCAATAAATAGTTCGATTTAATAAAAATTCATATTTCCTATTTAAACAAAAAAAGAATTAGATCGAGATTTAAATATTTTTCTTATAATGATATATAATTATTTTTAGAAGAACAATGTTCGCTACCGCATATACCTAAATTATCTCGACTTCAAAGAGTGTCCTTTTATCGATCAATGCCTTCTGATTTGAACCATTTTTCATTGGTTTTTCACGCTGCACCTAATCTCGTTCGCTTGGATCTACCTTTTGAATTCTTATGGCAGTTAATCGAAAATCAACAAATCCGTCATGTTCTTGGACAACGTATAACTTCACTTTTCATACATCAAAATACAATGAGTTCATCATCAGTAGCATTCAATGAAGAACAAGTACCTATCCTTGCTTCTACATTCTTTCGAGTTGATGTTTTATTTACCGATTTAACACATTTACGAAATAGTCCAATAACACTTCCGAATGATAATATTATTGAAGATTCTACAGTATCGAACTTACCCGTCGATGAATGTCAACAAACGAATGAAGTCGTATCCCCAGGTTCAAGTGAATCGATGGTAATATGTTTATTGAGAGAATTCAAAAAACATAAACTAGTTGGCCTAGGTATCAGGGGACAATTCTGTAAAATATTAAAAACAAACGCAAAACAATGGTTTCAACAGAATACCATTCTTTCTAATCAAAGATTTGATGCCGTTTTTAATGATAAGCTCCATCAACTACTCATTTGGATGTGATAATGCTTGTGTTTTATTTTGCTTTAAATAAAGATTTCTCAATAGTTTAGGATTATAAATATCTATTCATGAATAAAAACTATAGATATCTGGAAACCTACATTTGTCAATATTGATATGGTTAGGGTATAGAGCCCGTTGAGTCCACGATTCGATCGAAAAATCTTCATTGATTGCATGTCAGTTGCGAGAAAGAATTTTATAAATATAGTTCAGTGATAAGTAAAACAAGTCTTATTAATAAAGCTATAGTTATTTAATCGTAGGATGCAAGATAAACACTTCAATACATACATTCATTATAACCATTACATAATATCTCGCCAAACACACCTATACCCGAATGAATTCAACATTGTAAAAAAAAGCATATTGAGAGAATGAATTCGAATTGAGTAATATTCAAAGATGTGAAATGAATAATTATCCTTGCAAAACCAAGCTCGTTCATTCATACCGACTCGTGATAAAAAAGAGAATTTAGAACGAATATTATTTGAAATCGACTTAAATCCTACGATATTCTATTTTATGTATGAGAAGCTTCAATCCATCGAAACAATAATAATCGATACTGGACAATCAAAATGGCTCGCTGATAAGAAAACTTCGACTAGATGATCCTTTACACCATGATTTGTACAAAGGTCTTGCAGATCTAACATCAAAAGTTGGTGAATATGACAATTAAATTCAATTGGTGCACTCGAAAATTTGATTAAATCAAATGAAACAACCAATATTGATAAACGAAGCAATTACAAAAGTAAATCTGTTGGTAGAATATCTTCATCTTCAAATAGTTATCCTACATAAAAATTAATCAAATATGAAAGTTAATATCAGGGCTCTTACTTACATCCTTTCAAAAACTTTCTAGTAGCGATTGAACTAATCTAGTAGAATCGAATATGTTATCATACAGTCGTAAACTTACACCATTGAACAATCAAGCAACAGTTGCTTTCAATATGACAGATAATTATTTATCCAAAACTCAAATCGATCATCGCCAACTCTAGAATGGTATGCAATAAACTATATAAATCTGTCAAACTAAGTCAATACATAATCTATGTCATTGTTTATTTGAATGCTTTCTTATTTCTGCGATTTAGTAGTCCTGCTGTAGGTGGTCTAATAACACTAGCCCGAACCGATACAAATATATTTACCAAAGGATTTATTGATCCTTGAATACTTTATTAGATTAGAAATTGTTTGTTTTAATAATTTCTATTAATGAATCTAGATTTTATTCCTAATTTTCAATATTTACTCCTTCAATCATACCTATTGTTAATTATGTTCATCTACATATGCACATATGTAGACTCTTTCAATGGGAAACTAAGTTCACTATGGATAACTCACAGAAACATTTGAAATTTATTCGCAAAAAGCAATATCCTCACTTTGATCCATACTGGTAGGGCGAACGCGCTGTTACTATTTTTCTCATTGTCTCGGTCGTTCTATGGATAACACAAGGAGCTTTCAAGTCGTTTTGTACGGCAAATCATATTTCTGGAGAAGTAAGTCCGAAGTTTCTTTGACAACATAATTGCTCTGCTCGTTTTAGTTATGCTACAGATGGAACAACCACCATCCTGATCTACTCATTGCTACTGATTTTACCTAATTTAAACCCTTTTCAGAGTATTTAGATATTCCTTCTGAAATATAAAACTATCTATCTTGATTAGTAAATTGGAAATATAATCCAATTATTCAATGAGATCAACTATCAAAATCATTTCTGAGGAGTGCAATCATTTTACAAGGCGGAGGATTGGCTATCGCCGATAGATTCAAGATCTATTTTTTAGATGAGAAATATTTCCGTTACATGTAATTGGTTTTTAAAGGCATCAAATCTGTCGACAACTATTGCTAACCTTCTTCAGTTTATTGTTGATGCACCTAAAGAACTCATCAATTTTGTTATCATCATCATCAGTACCATTTTCACTAAATTTGCAAGCAACATCGCGCGTACTACCATCTTATTTCTTGTTCTTGATAATATCATAAGAAAATTCGCTTGCTCGTTTTCTGTCATTCGGTCTTATTTATCTTTTTGTTTGTGTTGTAAAGTTCCGTATCGTTCACATTCATTCAGCTTATTTTCCTATGCCATCATGTATAGCTGTTTCGCTTTCGTTCATGCTACATATTGATCAGTTGTTCATTTTTATTTTGTTCGATTCGGCAACAAATCATTGTTTCTAGCTATTTCACCGAATGCCATGATATTCTCAATTGGTCATGTAAGAATTATGAATTTAATCAAAGCAGAAGTTGGTATTGAAATTGTTGATATCCTTGTGATTTTTTTTTTGCAATGACCACTCTTTTTGAACTTATCTTTCACGTTAATACTCAATTAACATTCTTTCTTAATCTCAGGATCATAAGAAACGCTACGATTGGATAATGAAGATAAAATAAATGTAAATATATTTTTAAATTTACTTCATCGAACGTTGGATTATTATATCTAAAAATTTCTTTGATCGCTAATAAAATTGTCGGAAATTTTCAAAACAAACTGATAATTACTGAAATCAATTCTATTACAATTCATAAAAGCAAAATTTCGTAGGAAAAAATGTGGATTAATCGTAAGATAGATAGTATCTAAATATTGCGTTTGGAATTCATCTGAAAGCGTGTGAGTATAAATGTTGACGTAACAGAACTGGCAATTTATTCTCACATTGACACCTTATCTAGTAAGATCTTTCTAACGATGAAGGAATTATATCTTTGTCTGTAAAAATAGCTGAGTTATAGGAAAAACAAGGCTGTTTTAAAACTGTGTTTACCGAGTAAAATATCCGCGCTTAAATCTGCTCTACTTTTTTCAAAGTAAAATAAAGATAAACTGTCAATCCTTCAGCCAATCGAAAAATTTAACGGTTGAATTGATCCTTTCTTCTTCGATATAATACGTCATATCATTTTATGCTATCAATGAAATCTTTTTTATAACGTCTTGTTATTCTACTATTAATATCATTTGAAAAAAGAAAAAGAACATCTATTCTAATTAAATAATTCATGCAAAACGCGTTTCATTATTTTATATGATAGACGTGTTTTATGCTTGATGCGTTTTATAATATATATATATTTGTTGACATAAGATCTGAGTATTTCAAATAGAAAAAAAAATGAGACATGGCAGAAAGATTTTAACGGTTTAAATACCACTGGCAGAAGAAAAATATAGGATATTTTAAACTGTGAAGTAAGGAAAATTTTCAATCCTTGTTATTCATTACAGTTCAGCTACTAGCATATACATACAAATACACACCAACAATAAATTTGTTTCATTAACTATATGTCGAACATCACTTCAACGATTAACCAGTTGAATACGGCAACACCCGTAGTTGTACTTGTTCTGATTTTGATCAGCTGTGTCCCAGGTACAATCGGTCTTATTTTAAATTTATTGGTTTTTACTCAACCATCTCTGCGTCATGAACCATGTTCATTTTACTTTCTCTCATCAGCATGTTTCAATTTATTTGTTGTATTTATCGTCATGCCAGTACGTACTATTGCAAATAACGCCTATATAGATATGGCTAACTACAATCTTGGTTTATGTAAAATTGAATTTTTCGCCTTCTTCGTGGCGCGTGTCATGTCTTTCTGGTCGATTGTTTTGGCATGTATTGATCGCTTTCTTCATAGTTCAGCCAATATTCACATGCGTCGATTGAGTTCGTTAAAAACAGCACGATTAGCTATAGGAATTACTACCGTGTCGATGTTTATTTTGTACAGTCATATGATCATTTACTATGAAATAGGAAATGTGACTAATCAATTTGGACAAATCATACCTAAATGCCAGGGTCAAGCAGGTTTTTATCGTACTTTCATTGCATTCTGGCATATGGTTTTCTTTTCATTGTGTCCATCTTTTCTAATGCTTTTATTTGGTTGGCTTACGTTGAATAATATTCGTCGACAACGACGAATCGTTCCATTGGGTAGTGAAAATAATCAAATCTCTAGACCTACAGATAGGCAGTTATTACGTATGTTGACTGTTCAAGTTTTCGTCATCATAATCAATACATTACCATATGCTATCAATCGATTGTATCTAGCTTTCACAGCAAATGTGTCAAGGAGTACACTTCGTATAGCTCAAGAAAACCTGGCTACTCAAATCCTAGATACAATGGCATATTTCGCTCATGCGAGCGGTTTCTATGCGTATACGTTGACTGGTGCCGTTTTTCGGAAGGAACTCGTTCGAATTATCTCTTACTGTTTGCCTCAACTTCGAAATCGGAGCCATACATCGCATCCTTCAAAGAATTCAATATAAGTGTTGAAAGTTACTCATCAAGGTGCCACTGTGAATAATACTTCTATACCACAATAAAAACACCACTCAAAAATCAATTATAAATAGTAAAATATTCAATTAAATTTACTGTGTATATATGTCGTGCCGAAGTTACACTTCTTGCCGAAGTTACACTTCTTGCCGAAGTTACACTTCTTGCCGAAGTTACACTTCTTGCCGAAGTTATAACTTCGTCAATGTGTTTCGTCGAAGTTTAACTTCGACAAACATATTTTGTCGAAGTTAGTGTGAATGATAAAATAAATATCAACTTTCAAGAAATCAACAATAT